GAGCAAAGAATGATTGTCTTCTCAGTACAAACTTCTCTCTGTTGCAACAGTATAAAGAAGACAAAACAAATCTAATCGTAACAATACGTATTGGTTGTTTACTGTATGTGCAGCGATGCAATTAGGCTTTTTGTAGTGCTTCTGTTTTAGGATGCTGCTGCACTGAAGGGTCTGATGACGTGCTCGAGTAGTTGGCCTTGTCTCCTCTGCAGTCATCATCCTGAATGAATGTGTGCACACTGCACACTTGAGCACGAGGATGAACTGAAGTAGCAAATACAACAAAATAAAAGCTGCAGGAAGAAATGTGCATACACTGTCTTTGTGGGACTCATACACCTTATGATGACAATAGTCATATTCCAAAGATAACTAGGAGTTTATTAAATTAAGAAGTAGACTTTCTTTTCATTATAATAAATTAAGATGTTAAGAGGAAGTCTGGAAAATTGCCTTTTTTATTTGGGGATGATGTAACTCGACTAGGTGAATGCTCTTTATTTAAACACAGTGAAATCTATTCTGCCAAATACATGTCGAAGATGTTTCCACATTGTTATTAACTGAATGAGTAAGGCTGAAGGAGAGACAGGGATTGAAAAGATGGAAGAGAGAGGGAGAGGGAGGGATTATCTTTGTTCACTGGGTTAATCTGTTGGTGTAGTAAACAGTAGTAATCTGATGGCTGGCTGGACGCCACTGTAGGGGAAACCTCCTGTTCTAACAGATGGCATACACACCCTCGCACGCACACAAACATAGATACATTACATACAGTGCATGCAGATTCACACAAGCACACAGAAAAACACCAGTACAGAAAAATACTCAACTGAATACATTCTAAACGGTTTTGCTAATTTAAGAACACGAAAAGCTAGACACCAGAAATAAAGTAGTAAAAACACATAAAACAAGTGTTTTTGTTTCGTAAGTCATGATATAGTAACGTTGTAATTTGCCTTTGCCCTATATGCATCTATACTAACTAGAGCCGGAACCTTCCACAAAGCTAACAGCTCATTTGAACCTGCCCTGCTCCTGCACTGCCCTGCTCTGCTCCTGCCCTGCCCTGCCCTGCCCTGCTCTGCTCCTGCCCTGCTCCTGCCCTGCCCTGCTCTGCTCCTGCCCTGCTCCTGCTCCTGCCCTGCTCCCGCCCTTCCCCTGCCCTGCTCCTGCCCTGCTCCTGCCCTGCCCTGCTCTGCTCCTACCCTGCTCTGCTCCTGCCCTGCTCCTGCCTTGCCCTGCTCCTGCTCCTGCTCCTGCCCTGCTCCTGCCGTGCTCCTGCCCTGCTCCTGCTCCTGCCCTGCTCCTGCTTCTGCCCTGCTCCTGCTCCTGCCCTGCTCCTGCCCTGCTCCTGCTCCTGCCCTGCTCCTGC